TCATGGGAATAGCAGAGTAACATACCTGATTCCGAAATGGTTCAGGAACACGGTAATTGTGACTATGTACTTGCTTTCCTGACCATTTCTCAATGCCTGCGTACATATGAAAATCATATTCCCCAGACAACTTAAATTATTTATAAGCATTTTAAACTAAATGGAAAATTATCTATTCATACTAATATATTGAATATAAAAATAATAAATAAAAAATTGTCTCTCTTAGATTTCTCACCTTAAATTTCTATCTGCATTACTAACTAACACATCTTCAAATACTATCTCGGAGCTCAAACCACTTTTTCTTGACTCCATGACTCACTCTAGTTCCCTCGAGTCAACCCTCGAAACTCAGGCGACTTCATTGTTGTCCAATTCCTTTTTTTGAAAGGAAAAGGCTTTAAAAGCCCAACACTCCAAACATCCCAACCATGAAAATATGAAATGCTTTCACGTGGTGGACAATGCTATTTAAGCAAATCTTGCTTGCCCTACGAAGGCTCCTCAGTTAAATGCATTCACGCATGCGGGACCCACACCATGTATGAATGCATCTCATTGCTAAGAAGCCTTCCTATTTCGGCCCAGAAGATCGGTTCACTTATTATTTTTCATTCAAATATGAAATCTTATTTTAGATGTAGTCGACTTGGTCACTTGGCTGAAAAATAATTTTGCATCAGTGCTTGTGTCTATGCCCGCAAAGCCAATGACTACACAATGGATGAAACGAGCGAGCTATGCAACCACTAAAGTGACGACATGATGAGATCCATCCGGCCTTTTAGAATTTATTAGGTAAATTAATTACCAAAAAAAATTATTAGATTGAGACGATAAACAAGTTAGAAAAAGAAGTGTTATAATAATAAACAAGAATATATATATTTTAATATATTTCAAGTCGCAGGGATTAGTGGAAGAAATTTTTATCCATTTGATACTATGAATGGGATTCACACTTAAGTCTGATAGCTGGCATCAAATAGAGTTTAGTAGTCTATGCTTTATGGATATATATATATATATATATATACAGTATTGATTGAGCTTCTTAATATCAAAAGTCTTTCATATGGCTTTTATATAAGGAATTTTGTTGAAAGGACTTCATGAGAAAAAAAAAAAAGACCTCGGTGCATTTCTTACATTTACTTTAACTTTTTGGATTATTATTTTTATATATATATATAATAATATACCTTATCTTGACAATTATTGCAAATCTCTAACTAAAAGTGTGAAGGTGACAGTGCTGAATGGCGATCGCGATTATGAAAGATGATTGCGGCAGTGGTGGGGGACTGGGAGTGGAAGGTGGCAGCGGTAGAAGATGTGGTGGAGAAACGAAGGATCAGGAGAGAATATATGATAATTTTGTCAATCTATCAAAAATACATTGACAATTTAGTAAAATAACAAATTTACATTTAAATTTTTTTTAAATTTCTAAAAAGATATTTTAAAAACAATATTTTCTTACTTTTCTGAATGAACTTCCTAACAATTCATGCTTTTCCAAAAAGCCCTTTACACACTTGTAACCAAGTATCACAACTTTTAAAACATGGAATGACTTTTTGAGGTGTTTTGAGGTTGCAGTGAGTTCCCAAAATAGGGCCAATATCTATAGAGCCCTACCCAATTGGAAAAACGCATTTCAAAGTGGAGTAATTGTAGTAAAACTGGGCCTATTGCCCCCCTTGGCTTTTAAGTAATTGTCGTATGTAAGATGTTATCAATGTTATGTTGAAAAACAAATCCTCTGCTACCTCAGATTAAGTGTTTCATCAGGGAACAATGAGAAAACACAATTTTTTTTTGTTTTTCTTGTAGACCAACGAGTTGAATTGGTAGGATATATATCTTAATCTTGCTACAATTTGATATTATTATTATTTTTTTTTTACAAATTAAGAAAAAATTATAATAACAAATCTTAAGAATTGTCTCAAGTGAATAAAAACTCGTTCTTGGTGTCTCGAAAAAAAAAAAAATTAACCTTTGTGTCATATATATACATGCACCTGACCACCTAAAGACAACAGTTTTAAGGGACAAATAAGATGAGTAGAGTACCTGGAAGATTCGCTAACCGTGGTTCAGTGTTGTGACCAATACACACTACTACTGCCTCGAACATATCCACTGAACTCAAGCTTTGCTGCCTTTGACAAAAACACCCCTCAATGACATGTGATAAAATAACCTAAGTGCCATTTAACTTATAAAATGACACTTTTGAATAGCAAAATTACTAAATTACCTATTTTAATAAATTTAATATGTCCAAAATAACCTCTCTCACATCTCTCTGTAGACATAACCTGACATATATATATATATATAGACTATAGAACTCACTTTGCACGATTTGTATGGAGATATATTATATGCATATATATATATAGAAGTTACAGACCAGTTACGCAATTTGGGTTTCTGCCAATATGGAGATATTATATGTATATAGAAGTTACAGACCATATATATATATATATGGACTCACATATATTGATTTATGGCAGAACAAAGTGCTCTGAGCCTTTTGCTTCCCGGAGTAGATTTAAGCGAGATTTCAAATCGCGCAAAGGAATTAAATGAATCTGATTCAGTTGATTCTAGTGATACCACCACCACCTCCGTCGTAACCTCCGACCACGGTCTCATGATGCAAATGGATTTGGATTGATCTGTGGGTTGCTCTGTTTGTTTTTGCACAGTTCAAGCATGGTGGTGGTGATAAGAGATGTGATATTGTGCAATCACCGTGCGTGGAGAAAGACGGCGGCGGCGGATGTGGTTGAAGAGAAGTGGCGGCGGGATGTGGTTGAGGAGATGGTGGCAGCGGGATGTGGTTGAAGGTAAAGTGGTGGTGGCTGTGGTTAAGGGGTTTGTGGTTGATGAGATGATGGCAGTGGGTGAAGAGAGAAAGGGCCAGATCGATGGGTTAGAAGAGATAGGTAAAAGGGCAAAAGTGTTATTTTAAAGATATAATATTTTACAATTAAAATTAGTTAAATATTGATGGGCAATTTTGTTTTTCCAAATCTTTTAAAGGTCTGTTTGGTTCTAAATTTTGTCAGGGAATGTCATTGTTCAAAAAATGTCTAACTTGTATATGAATGTCATTATAACAAACCTTAAGAGGTGTCGTTGTAATTAACCCTAAAAATTATTAGAGGCCCATAAACAAGGCTTTTAAAAAATTTAGGGGATGCAATGTAAGTAGTCCTTTTTAAAACACTTCATTAATTATTATTTTTAGGGATATATAATTATAATTATATATATATATATATATATATCGGAGATCAACAGGCGTGAGAGGTACAATTAGCAATATATATATATTGTTCACCACTTTATGACACTGACATTTCTTTGGCTAAGCTTATTCCGGTGACAAGTGTTGGGATTTATATGCCCTGGCATAGCAAATTCCTATTTGGCTTAAAATGACATATATTCCTGACATATCTGAAATATTTATAATTTATATAATTGGTGAATTTAATGTATTGTGTTTCGATTCATTATAGAATTGATAGTGTCCTCTTGATTACAAGAAATATTTATATATATATGAGATGGCGATCAATACATTAATATAAATAGTAATCATAAATTGTTTATAGTCGGTAATTATGGATGGAATCATAATTAATTAAGACTTGGACTGAATCCGCTTTAGGTTGAGATATATTGCGAGAGCCGTCGTATGCAATTGCTCCCTATTACCGTCATGGCATTTGACTCTTAAGCATGAGAAATGTATAGACTCTTTTGTTAATTAATAATTACTTTGATTTGTTCGGCGGATTCTTCGGGATCCTTAGACCGACACTTTGGGTAGTTATGTAATTAATAGTTAGATAGTTATATTTTTAATATTTGCATCATTACTACTTGTATTTATTTTGTATTGATTATGGTTGATCACAAAGTAAATTCGAAGGCATTCGTGTGTTTTTAGACAAAATGATTTATTATATATTTATTTATTTAAATTATTATTTTTGTCAAACAAATATTTTATTGTGATCGAGTCAGAAATAATCAAAGGTACCAAAATAAATATATTAATTAAGTAGTCGGATTGATGGCTTTATTTATCCGATAACTAATTATGCATAGAGGAGTCAAAGTGCAATATTGACTTAGAGGTTATTTATTATTTAATTGAAGTTCAATTAATTTCTTTTAGTGGAGTAGAAATTAATTTATGAATTAATTGAATTGGATTTATGGACCGGACCAATTATTAATTCATTGTAGCCAATAAAATAATAGGCCCAATGGATTCTCACTCATAGCCCAACTTGATATTGGAATCATATTAGATTTGAGACATATGAATTAGAGATTGAGAATGATTTGTTATTTCCTTTTCTTTATTTTTATGTTGCCTATAAATATACATGGTCTATGTATATTTTGGTGGTGATTTTTGGAAGAAGGAAAAAGGAATAAATTTTCTCTCTCTAAAAAAATTAGGGTTAGTGTTTTCATCTAATGGAGGCTCCCACAAGCCTAGTTTTCTAAGGTCATTCATGGAGGCTTATGAGTGATTCCTAAAGGCAAAACAATTATCAAGAAAATGGAGATTCATGGAAAACGTGTCTAGCAAAAGGGATCTACAATAAGTGAGAACATTCACTTTAGAGGAGAGATCTAAAATTTACTCAAACCTTGATGTAAGTATTCAATCTCTTAATTGAATGATACATCATGTTTTATTTTTGCATAAAACTTGTCTCTATGTGATGAATCAACATTTATGAATTTAAATCCCTAAAAAAGTTTTTAAAATTAACACGTTTCCCAACAACAAGAACAACAATTGAATGGTAGAATGGATTTTCGGTGTTTACGTGTATCGAGTGTATAGAGTGTGAGTTTGAATCCTTCCACTACTTAAGTTCGTGACTTAAATCTCACCCGGACTGGCTGGTACGGGTGTAGTTCTCCTGTTAGAAGACCTTTTAACAACATAAAAGTAAATAACTTATTATGGTAAATTTTATTCCATACAAGAACATGTTTGCAAACAAACGAAAATGCAGTAAAAACATGCATGCATCTTATATATGCTGTTTCCAGCAACTAAAAAGCTTGGCTGCTTATCCAGTCATCGACATCCCATCTGTCCTTGTATCCCTCCACTTGAGAACTATGAACAATCTCCCAATGCTGTGCGTATATCTTTTTTATCTTCTCCTCCACAGGTGGTATACCCACTTGAGCAGCCAACCAGTCCATGTATTCATTCTGTCATAAAACCATGAAATCCAATGAAATCATATATATATATATATATTCATGCATGTATATAAGCATCAATGTCTATAATAAAATTTCTATACTTGTATGTATATAAAATGACAAACATCGAATAATACAACAATAATGGCAGCTGGGGAATGAAAACCTGATTTGGATGAATTTGATGAGTAAAGTGCTTGGGGATCCTGGATTCCTCCATATGCCGGTAAAGTTGTTCAACATCAGCGAGCATCTCCTCCTTGGATGGCAGAGACACCTTACCGGATAAAACATGGGCTATCCACTTGGATTGTAACTCCACCATACCAAATATAATGATCTAATTGCAGAGAAAAATATTTCAATTCACCGTGAATCTCACAATAGAATCCACAGTGACAACAAAAATAGCAAGAGTAACAACTGACCCTAAAAGGTAATCCAACAAAGGAGAGAAAAGGACCAAGCTGGGGTGGGAAGACATGCTTGTAAAGTGGTCCTACACGGTTGTCATCAATGGTCACAATTCCATTTGTTTTCAGAAATGGAACATGATATTTGTACCTATATACAAACATATAAGAATCATGCATCCGCAAGTTTATATATATATGTTCAAGAAAATAAAAGGAAAAATTAGTTTGGAATCGATTCGTACCCGGTACAATGAAAAATGATATCTGCTTTAACAGAACACCCGTCTTCAAAGGCTACTGTTCCATCTTCATAAGCATAATCAATCTAAAGCAAGATTAAAATTCATTATGGTACATCTTGGAATGCTTTTATTAAAAAAAAAAAACAAAGAACAGATAAACATGATTTTGCAACACGTACTATTTTATTGTAGATGTTAAGTAATTGATATATGTGAAGGGTGTTGTATAAAAATATACCTTTGAATGCTGCCATATATTGTCATAGCTGTCTAATTTTGAGATTTTAACATCTGAGGCTCTTGATGAAAGATGAACTTCTTTGGCAACTTCAGCAATTTCTCTGGAGATATCGTTCGCACTATACCCAGCTCCAATCATTACCACAACCTTGTAAGTTGGAATTGTTCAATAAGTACTTGAATCAATTAGCTCGGAATACGTCTCCTCCCTCGAAGAGGAGGTGAGAGGTGAGAGGTTCGAGCCCCTTAACAATTCTAACACTACTAGAATTAATAAAATTGAATGCTTGACATATATAATCCTTGGATACATTAACGAAACAAGTTTGCTAAGAACTTTGGGTCATGATCCAATTTTGATACTGACATTACCAAATTATAAAAGTAAACAGATTTGAAGCCACAATTTCATGTTGTTATGGGGCAATTGTCCCAAGAATTTTCAAAGCAAAAGGCATGGGAATAGTGAGTAACATACTTGATTCCGAAATGGTTCAGCAACACGGTAATTGTGACTATGCACTTGCTTTCCAGGCCATTTCTCAATGCCTGCACACATATGGAAAATATATACAAGATTATATATTGCCAAACAACTTATAATTATTTATAAGAATTCCATACTAAATGGAAAATAAATCTATTTATACTAATATATTGAATATATAAAAATATATATATGTCTCTCTTCGATTTTTCGTCTTAATTTTCAATTTGCATACAGCCTCAGATACTACCTCGTAGTTCAAATCATTTTTTCCTGACTCAATGGCTCACTCAAGGTTTGTCGAGTCAACCCTCACAACTCAGGTAACGTCATTACAACCAACTTAGTGGGTCCAAATTCTTTTTATATGAAAATACATGATGATGACATCAACATTCATATACATAAATCAATAAGTGTCCAACTTTTGAACTCAAAATCATTATTCATATGAAAATTTATTTAAGTTATGCTACTATTTCAACTGCAAGTGAATGAATTTGGCCCACTATTTCAGATGAAATGGAGCTTGTAAATTATTTTTCAATTTTTTTTTTGACAAGATTAGGGTTGCAGATGAGTTCAATTCGATACACTTCCCAGGCTAAATGGAATCGAAAATGGAACCATTCCCAACGATTTCAAAATTTTAAAACCGGAATCGGAAAAGTTAGGAATTGAAACAGATGCACAGGTGGATTCTTTGTACACCCCTCGTCAAGGTGGTCTTCTCTTTGTCTATCCTAATGTATTCAATGATTAAAACAAGCAACCTGCCCAACCACTAATTAAAGTGAAGACGAGATGTGGTCCACCAGGCCAACTTTTAGGTAAATTCAAGAGACGATCGAACTAGATGATAAACAAGATAGAAAAAGACGTGTTATAGAATAAACGAACACTACAAATACATATACATATATATATATACCTGGAAAATTCGCTATCCGTGGTTCAGTGTGGTGACCATTACACACTACTACCGCTTCGAAAATATCCACTGAACTCAACCCACTCGTCCTCGACTCAACGATCCATTCATCAATCCTCAACTCAACCAGCTCAACTCGGACGACTTCAGTATGAAACCGAATCAACTCAGTGAGTCCAAAGTCCCTCCCAAAATCATTCAAGAACCCGAGCATCTCCTCACGCCCGGGAAAATTCCTCGGATCCCCATTTTTCCTAACTGTACACGGATAGTCCGAGAAACCCATTATGTGCCGAGGGAAATTGGTCCGGAGCGAATGGTACGTACTACTGTGAACGATCTCTCTGTTCGGGTCGAGGCTGAGTAGGTCGGACTCAACTCGTGGGTCGTAGACCCATGTTCCACCAAGTCGGTCTCCTTTTTCGTAGACGACGACTCGGTGGCCTTCTCTTTGAAGTTCACGGGCGGCGACCAGACCGGAGACACCGGCTCCGATCACCGCCACTTTCAAAGAACGTGCCATCTCTGTATCTATTAGTATGTGTTTTTGTCTTTGTTTATTCAGGTGGGTGGGTGCATATGTACTTACTGTTATTTATAGAGGGACAACATTTTTCTTACAAGTGACCTTCTCCCAAAAAAACAAAACATTTTTCTAATAAGTCGGGCAAGGTTGGCGAGAAATAATAATTTCCCTCCATTTTTTATTAGTAATTTATTTTTCTTTTTTTACGTATTTTAAATTAATTATCCTTTTTAAAAATTCAAGTATTTTATTTTTATATTTCTATCATTATTCTTTATTTTTTTAAAAAAATTTTAAACTTTATAATTATATATATTTAAATTTAAAAGAATAATTTGATAATTTTAAAAAGAGTCAATGCATTAATTACATGTCTTCTCAAAAAGTTATAAAACTAAAATTGGACAACTAATATGGGAGGTAATATTATAATAAGGGCAAGTTATGATCCTATTGCTCGAAATAAACAAAAGGAAAAAATAATAATAATACTAATAAATAGAAATCTGAAGGCCTTTTATGTACAAGGTCACATTAAAAAAAGTTGACAATACAGTCTTATTTATTTATTTAACCTTTACAAACACTTGCAAACTTGAACATTTTCATCATAGAAGTATCTAGTCTTTTTATAAAAGAAAATGACAAAGATTTAGTGGCGGCTTTTCCCAATGGCGTTCGCATCCAATTACAACTTGACCACCTGTCCCATCCCCCACCCATTCTCCTACAGCAATGATGAAATAAATACTCATTCGAAAATGATTCTTATAACGAAATATCTAAGCTAGGCTTAAAAATTTCTATCCGTTTAAAATAGTAAATGGAATTCATGTTTGAGTTTGTCCAAAATATCTGATAAATAAAAATTATTCGGTCAGAAAAATAAATTTAAAGCAATCGTTGCAAATATCATTATTCATATTCATTCGTCAATGCAACTCAAATCAGTTAACTTCAGTACTCCTTACAACTTATGACAAAATGCTTTGGCAATGTCTTCACAAAAAGTTGGGTTGGTTCAATAAGGGGATTAATTGGAAGGTTTTGTCGAATTTCAATCACAATAACATTAATATGGTTGTTTGTTAATAGCGGGTGATGGTAAATAGTGGATGATCAGTTTAATGGGTTTTGTCGCCATTGGGAGGAGTTTGTAGTAAAATTGAAGACTTTGTACCTTCATTCATTTTTTTTTTTTTAAAATTATTTTGTAGGAAGGGGATTCATCAATAATGGATGATTTTAGGCTCCATAATATAATTTTACTGATTGATTGATGAATCCTCTTTTACAAAATAATTTAAAAAAAAATAAAATAAACGAGGGTACAAAGTCTTCAATTTTAATATGGTTGTCGAATTTCAATCACAATAACATTAATATGGTTGTTTGTTAATAGCTGGTGATGGTAAAATTGAAGACTTTGTACCTTCATTTATTTTTAAAAATTATTTTGTAGAAGAGGATTCATCAATCAATCAGTAAAATTATTATATTTTAGTCTTTAACGTGAATTTCTATTGCTGGCAACATTGGAGGGAGGTTGGTATAATTTTTGAAATATTAGGGGTGATGTATGTAATTAGGCCTAACCTCAAGGAAAATAAGTGATATTTTTAAGCAAATAGCTTCATTGCCTATTACTCAAACATAAATCCATATTGATTTTTCCCACATTGTTGTAAAAACAATACGATTTTAGGTTCTGTTTGTTTAGATGTAAATTATTTTATTTTATTTTCTATAGACAGAAAATATTTTTCAGAAAATAATTTTTTTATTTTTTGGCGTTTAATTGTCATAAAATATTTACGAAGAAAAAAATATTAAAATCTAACAACAATAACTTATCCATTAATTTTTGACAAATTATTTTATACATGTGCCTGATGAACTTGACCTAGACCTTTGCTAAACACACCAAAACAATATTATACACAATCTCAAATATTTTACATCGAAACAAACAGAGTAAATTATATTTATTAAGTAAATAGCTTCTGAGAAATATACGATGATGATCAAGGGATTAAACTCAAGGGCTAAATGCAATAAAAAAAAGCCAGTGGCTAGTGACTTTACCACAGAGCAGAGAAGGCCTGATGAAGTGAGATGAACATGCAGCCAAAATGAAATAATATGTTGTTCTAGGATTAAATTCTAGCGAAAAAACCTTGGCAGGATGGAAAGGAACTGAAAGATACAAATTTAACAGAACTTAGAAAGTGGAATGACAATATTTTGTTCCTCTTTCTTTGAAAAAACAATTGACAGAGAACTGAGAAGAACGTACACGAGAAGATGGCGAAGCAACACTTGCACCACCAGAATCACCAACTACTTTCAAACGCTCATCCAGTCTCGGTAAAGGCTCTTGTCGTGCTATCGGTACCAAAATTTTTGCTTCCCAGTTCAATGTCCCTTATTTTTGACACCGGATTCTTACTTAGAATAGCTCCTTATGCCACAACGGGAACTACTCTAAGTAAGAAACCATTGACAAAAGTAGGGTTTCGGAACTCAACAAGAGAACTTCAATCAGACCCTGAACCTGCAGATATAAAAAGCACATATATCAACATACTTGACAACCCGATTTTACCATTGTACCAAACAACGAGTCTTGAAGTCAGGGAGTCATTGCAAGTGATGCAACTGATGAGAAGAAATGAGATCGTGAAGGATGTCTAATGGCTTCGATTTTGTTTTTTCTTCTCCTTCCTACAATAAATTATTATTATTTTTAGATAAGAGCAATAGAACTGCAGGAACTAACATCATTATTTGCATAGGGAAAAAAGATGAAGTAAAAAATAGAAGTGTCACCATTTTGTATCTAAATAAGTGATGGTGATTTTGAGTCTATTTTAGTTCCTTGTCATACATGGACTTTTAGTTCGCAAGTGTTCTTTTGCTGTATGCATTCTCTATTCTTATTAGAAATACTTACTTCTACTTAATTTGTCTTATCCATCTTACTCATGATCACTTTTTACGTAACAGCTTTCTATTTGGTCATTGTATTAATGCTAGGAAGCTATTAAGAGAAGGAATTAAATCCCAATAAAATCCATAATTATTGGCATCAACAGAAGGAAAAAGTATAGTGTAGGAATACAAGATAAGCATACAAAACATTATTCACTGATCAGCTTTTTGTTGCATATAATTTTCGTGAAATTTCCGGCTATGAAAGGCAGCAGCCAGCAATATCAAGTAGACAGTATTAGATTTGGTGCATATATACAATTAAACAAATGCCACACTGAAGGTTTATATCAGCATGTTTGCAAAACAATAATCAAGGATATGAAATATCTGTTAACCGCATATATTCATCTGAGCCCTGATCCAAAAAATACAACTCTCTCTGCTTGAGCTAAAAGACAGCAAAACAGTCAATTTCTGGATCATTTAAATTCCTCCCGGAAGCAAATAGGTAGTAAACATCTTACATGTCCTAACCAAAGACTAAAACTAAACTGTTACAGGTAAACAAACAATGGAGTCAGCTATAACATTGATAATAAATGGTTTAGAAACCTTAGAGGATGGAATGACACGTGTTGAAGAGGAGGATAATCTTGCATATTGTGGTGCTTTGGAAGTTCCAATCTCATTATGAACCTATGACAATTAAACAATTTAACACTCTAACTAAAACCTTTTAAATAGACAATAAAAATGATGTTACCTGTTGGGAATCCAAATAGTTAGAAGGTTGAGGATATGATTTAGTAGGAGCTTGTTGGTCTGAGTTATTAGTGTTCTTTTCCCCCTCCAATTGTGCAATCTTCATAACTATCTACATATGCTCTTTTAACACACGCACCTCTTCATTGGATTCCCTTCTAATCTGAATGCCAACAAATCTGATGGAGTCAGAACCTACCATGTCTTTCTTCTCCCATAACTTGAGAGAATAAGTCATCCCTAGCTACAGCAGATTGTGTTGGTTGCTGGCTTGCTCGTTCTTTGAACTGATTCTGCACAATCATAGATCATAGCCCATAAATATTGTGCATTAAGTTGCAGCATTTTCTTCATTAAAGGCTATGTAGCTTGTAAACAAAATTATCCATTTTATTTCAGATTCAAAGACTAAAAAATAAAGGCATCAAAAATCAGGATAGCTGCAGATGTATGCGTAAAAATGGAAAAGATTAGCACACAAGGGAAGCCAAAAACAAGTACTTGGACATATAATTATCATTATTATTCAAAGAAATATGTTTCATGTTACAAATAAGCAGGGCATAAATTGTTTTCAAAAGTACTACTGCATGATACAAGTAATTGATTTATGCAATAGTGATTATCACAGGACTCGATGAATAATTTTATACATCTCTTGACAGGGTCTATATGAACATGCTAAAACCAATATTTATGATCTTAATTATGATTACCATTGCAAATAATTGGAGTCTATTGTTAGAAGTATAATATTCGCTTTCATGTTTCCTGTAAATGCATCTGTATCCGCTGTCACAGGCAATATGTTTGTTCTGATTCCAGGGAACCACAGGAATTCAAACTATAATCAACAATTTTTGCACTGGAAATGGAGAGCTTCAGCTACTGCAACTTTGAATCTCTTGTTGTCAGATTCGGATGGCGAGTAAGGAACATTTTTGTTTCATTTGCAAAACCAATATATATAAACTTTAATTAATTTCCATGTGGAATTTGGAAGATTTGTAAACAAATAAGAACTCAGTATCACTTCTAGTGTGAAAATTTTTGAAGGACATGTGAGATCTAAGGCCCATTTCTGCAAGCAACAATTGACATCTAGAGCAAATATTTACATTTCCCTTTTCTTGAAGGCAACACATTAATAGCTAAAGGACTTGACTTGCAAAACTTTTACTATACTTTTTGGGCTGAATTTGTTAGAGGATAACATTAAGCATGGAAGGAGAAGAGACTATGAGCAGATCTGTGCTATTCAGGAATCCATAATTTTTAAAAAGAGTACATAAGAAATCAAATACAAGAGAATCAGACAATAATATACCATGCAAAAAACAAGAAACAAAGCAACTAACAATCTAAGGCAATAAGCAAAAACAGATTCACAACTCATGCATGAAAATTCAGCAACCTGAGCAAAACAAAGCCACCACACAACTGCAGCCAGTAGAGAACACTAACCAGATCATGCCACAAACTCCAAAGTGAAGGCAACCAAAGCTCATAAGAAATCGGCCAACAGAATCTAGACACAAGAAAGGTACAACCAAATGTTTGACAAGAACATACCTGTCCCTCGACAGAGTTCCAAAAGTAACCGCCATTGATCTGGAAGGACTGGATCATCCCAATCTGCTAGACGTTCTTCGTCAATCTCATGTGTCATGTAACGCTTCCTCATCAGCTCTGCCTTCCAATCCTTCCACTTGTTAGCAATAGATAGTACCACCCAATCTCTAGCATATGGTGGAAGATCAAACTTCTCACACACCATAGAAGTAAACAATTTAATATCAATTTTAACATTAATATTATCATTTGCAAAGAGAAAAATAGTCTGTTTATCATATCAAAACTATTTTCCCAACGACCTCCAAAGATGCATTTGGTATTTTGCTCTAACAGAGCAAGTGAGTGGCAACAAGTCACCTTTCCATGCTACAGTACCAAGAAACTGGGCCAAAGTCCCACCTTCTTTCCCAATGGGCTGGCTGACCTCTTGCATGCTCCATATATCGAGGCAAATTGTGCCCCCAAGAGTCTTTTGCATCCTCAATGATCTAATTAAGACCCAAAAAACGTACAATTCTTATATTAATATTCTGGTCTCAGTTGCAACAAGGTTATTAATTAATTACATAATATAATAACAAATCTAGTAAGGGGCAGAAAATTTGTAATAATAATTTTCAATATCCAGCTCTCATATAATGGTATATATGATCCTGTGAATGCCAGAATCATGGAAACAAATAACAGTATGTAAAATTAAGATGATCTACCAAGTGTAGGTGTGGGATAATAGTCACGTGATTAGCACATATATCATTGACTGGAAATGCTACCTACCAGTCTAGCAAAACAAAAAATTCAATTAATAGTAACAAAAAATAAATAAAAAATAAAAGAGCATTTTCCACGCTTGATGCTGCCACTGTTTTATCAAATTTGATGTGAATTTAGGGAGAAACTACCTAAATAACATTAATATAATGTGAAGAAGGCGGTCACAGCTCCATTTTCCACCGGACTTTTTCAAAGAAATACGTCCGATGTAGATGACAACTAAAAGAATCTAAGTTCTTTACTGAAAAATAATATATATATATATATATATATATATATATAAACTAAGTTCTTTACTGGGAAAAAAATCAAATAAAGTAACTATCGTGGAGAATGTGAAACTAACCAGCAGTAGCTAAACATGATACAATCAATATATAAGCTTGAAATATAAGCTTCATACCCACATCACCATGGCCAGGATGTTGAGATGGGCTAGGCTGTTGGTGAATGCCATGTTAAGGAAGCTATCCTTAACCACTTCACAGCCCTTCTTGGTACAAACCCTCATCTCTATCCAGGTAGAAATTGTTTGATTCAATATATTACTAAGTCTGTACCAGATTACCTCACTGAGCAGCTTACTGCTTTGCCTACACATGCTGAAATCCAACACTGTTCCTCTCTCTCAACAAAGAGAAAGCCCCAGGCCCAGATGGTTTTAATGCCTTCTTTTTTCACAAAGCTTGGGCTATTATTGATGATGATATCATCAAAGCCATTCAAGAGTTCTTTACTAATGGCAAATTACTTCAAGAGTTAAATTGTTCATACATCTCACTGGTTCCAAAGACCCCAAACCCTTCCTCACTTCATGAGTTCAGACCTATTTCATCTTGTAACACAATCTACAAATGCATTTCTAGACTCCTAGTTCTCAAATTTAAGCCAGTTCTTCCCCTCTTAATTGATCCTAGTCAATCAACCTATGTTCAAGGGAGAGCTATCAGTGATAATGTACTTCTTGCTCAGGAGCTAATGCATGGATATCACTTAGCCTCATCCACTACCTCACCTAGATGTGCTATCAAGATTGACCTTCAGAAGGCATTTGACTCAGTGAACTGGGAGTTTCTGCTTGACACGCTCACCATTTTTAACTTCCCACAACAACTTATTCATTGGATCAAGGCCTGCATTACATCTCCATCTTTTACTGTCTCTGTCAATGGATAATTTACTGGTTTTTTCAAAGAAGCTAGGGGTTGAGACAAGGGGATCCTCTGTCCCCCTTCTTGTTCACAACTGTTATGGAGGTTCTATCATTAATCATTTCCTCAATCACTTCACAGTCTCAATCATTCAAGTTCCATTGGAGGTGTAAAAAGAGAGCCATCACCCATCTTATTTTTGCAGATGACCTCCTACTTTTTTCTCATGGAAGCTTACAGTCAGTGAGTATACTACACAATGCACTACTCATCTTCTCAACTATCTCTGGTCTCAACATCAACAAGTCTAAGAGCTCCATCTTTTTTTGTGGTGTGGATCAAGCCACCCAAAATTCAATTTCTAACTTAATTGGGATAGGAATTGGATCTCTCCAAATTAGGTACCTTGGTGTACCCCTCATTACCACAAGACTTAAAGCCCATGACTGTAGAGCACTGGTTGATAAGATATCAAGCAGAATGAATCACTGGACAAGCAAGGCAATTTCTTATGCAGGTAGAATTCAACTAATACAATCCATCATTGCTAGCATTCAGATGTATTGGGCTAGTATGTTTATACTGCCCAAGGCGATCCATAAAATTAATAGGTTATGCAGGAACTACCTATGGTCTGGCAATGGTCTTAACAACAAAAAAGCAAAGGTGGCCTGGCTCCATGTTTGTAGACCTAAAGGGTTGGGTGGCCTTGGCATCCCAAATGTTGAACTCATCAATAGGGCTTCCATGATGAGACGTGGAAAATCATCACTGATTGCAAAGATAGCTCTTGGGCTCAGTGGATAATTGATCACCAACTGAAGGACAAATGCTTTTGGGAACTGAATATTCCACAAAAATGCTCCTACAATTGGAGATCCCTACTGCAACTTAGGCCTGCATTTATGAGATTGATCAAAGTAAATATTGGGAATGGGGAGAGAATTACCTTCTGGCATCACAATTGGTTAGAGGACAGCCCTCTTTGCAACAGATTCTCCCATGCTCAAATTGACACTTCTGGAATCCCTCTCAATGCTAGACTGAATGGTTATATGTCAGCACATACATGGAACTTCCCAAGAAACATAATCTCACTTCTACCAAGCCTGCAACACATTCCCTTTGCTGGTTCAGGTATTGATTCATTCATCTGGAGGCCATCATCAACAGGCAAGTACTCTCTCAAGCACACAATTGAAGCACTAGCTCTACCTGCTCCCCCTGCCCCATGGTATCAGCTAGTATGGAATTCACTGTTAATCCCAAGACATAGAGTCATCCTGTGGCTAGCAGTTCTAAACAAACTTCCCACACTTGATAGCCATACCATGGCATACAAGCTCATACCGAACCACTGCACTATGCCTATCCTCTGGAGAATCCCTGAATCACATCTTCTTCTCATGCTCATTCACTGCTCCAATTTGGTCCCACTTACAAAACATATGTGGATTTTACACAAGATCTCAGTGGAATGATTTCATTTTTTGGGCTTCACATCACTGGTCATCAAAGAGCATTGCAAATGCTATTAACAAACTGGCACTTTCAGCATCCATTTATCACATCTGGGTAGAGAGGAATTCAAGAATCTTCAAGGACATATCAAGCAATCAAAACTCTGTCCTGTTGAATATCACTAATTCCATCAGAGAAAGACTCTTGCCCTTGTCACTCAAGCATGGGGTGGCTGCTCGACGTGCCCGTCAGGTCTGGGATCTTCCCTCTTCCTTCATCCGTCCGCCTCCTCGTCCTCCGGATGAGCCACCATTGCAGCAGTGAGGTTGCTTGATGCCAGACATGGCTTGTCTTGCCGGAGTTGGTGATTGCTGAGCAACTTACAGTTACAACTTAAAGTTGTTTGGCTTCAGGGTTTTTGGGCCTCTTGGTCTCTTGGACTTGTTGGGGTTGGTTAGGTTGAATTTGTGTTGGACCTTTTCATGGTCTTGTATCTTTTACATTTTCCCTTTTTGGGCCTTGTCTCAATGCATCATTTTCATTATATAAATTGCTTAACTTTTCGGAAAAAAAAAAAATATATATATATATATATATAGAGAGAGAGAGAGAGAGAGAGAGGTGTGTGGTAAGTTCCAGGATACGTTTTAGGGCTCTAATCATATGAGAACGTGGAATTCACAGGGAAGTGACAATCAACACAGTAGCCCCAAAAAACTCATGAAGCCCCTATAACGTAGCAATTTGGGGGTGGTAAGGTAATGGGGCTTCAATATGAAACCCTCTGTTCAAAGACCAAACTTCAAGAAAACCAAGACATCATTGGAACAGCAATTTATACATGCTAGCCCAACAGTAGATAAATCAGAAGAAATTTACGTAACCTAAACACATCATAAAGTTCTGAACCTAATCATTGACTTAGTGTACTGAATTGACGAAGCAATAAAGAAGTTATGAAGTTCCTTAAACACAGATCTCCAAAGCGACAAATCGCTATTAGCAGGGGCAGTTGCAGAAAACTGCACCAAGTATATCTCTTAATTTTCTATTGTTCTCATTCAACCAAACAGATTGTAGAAAAACCAGAAAAAAAAAAAAAAAACCCTAGAAAATTATTGATCCAGATAGAGAGAGCAAAACACACAGATTAAAATTGAGAGACATTTACCTGTAACTTGCGAACAATCAATCGGCCAACAATTTTCAGAGGCTGCTTTGTTATAGCTCTGCTTCCTTGTTTGAAATCATAAATGTTAGAGAGATACAATTAAAAAGTGATGGATAGAACTTTTCTGTCAGATACATTATTTAGGCCACTAGTTGATGAACAGGTATATCCGGTTCAAATCTCCCCTCTCCCTAATTTAAATATATGTGTATATATATATATATATTAAACAAATAAAGTTTCCAGGTATGCTCTCGACTAGTTTGGAACCTCTAGTTGTAAATTTGTAATACAGTTTTTGGAGTTTAATTTTGTTTGATGCTAGTTTGATTCAGTTTTAAGGAATTCATGATTTTTTTAATATTTTTTTTGTCACTTGAGTTGGGTTTATAATTCTCGTAACCATTTATTTATTTTTGTTTACTACTCTTAAGTGATATCAACTTTATTGATTGTTCCTCACGGCAGTCTATCATTAGTAGTACTGGCTAACAATGTGTATGTGACTTGTTAGGCACATCAACAATTGTTGATGTGACTAATAATAGTGCATTGCTACCAATTTTTCACGTTATGAATAATCATTATTTTTTTTGTTTCTCATGTAATTTATTTATTTATTTATTTTTTTTCTTCTCGTATATTTGTTAACACATTTTAAAGAAAAAAAAAAATTCTAAAGGCAAACAAATAAAAATCATATATATATTTTCAAAAATAAAGTAATCAAAATTGTAAATATTTTTTTTCACATTTTGTAGCCCATGAAACATTATAATTTATTTTTGTTAATTTACATAGCAGTTGATAGCTAAAAGAAGAAGAAGAAACAGAGCTTTTGTAAAGTTAAAAATAGAGCTACTAGAATTGTTGACAATTAGTTACAAGTGGGACCCGTTCGTGGCTAGCAACATGCATGTTACCTGCTGCGAGTGGTTTTCCTAGCCTTGCCATGGAATCGGTCTTTTGCTATCCTCACACCATTACAAATCCTAACAATTTTGCTAGTTTTAAATTAATAATCTATGGTATTATATGATTGCTTCCAATTTTGCTAGTTTTAAATTAATAAGTAATATTTACAAGTTAAAAATCTTGCTTGAATGGGGATCACAACTATGAAAATTTCATTTCCAAGGAAAAGATTTCTTTGGCTAAACTTATTCTGGTTATTTCCATACAATCATCTTACTTGAATAACCTTTCAATAAACTATTTATAAATAAATTAAAATGCAGTAAGACTCAGTTTGGCGGTATGAAATTGGAACCTTGAAATTGTAAAAAGATTTGGTTCAATTTTCTGAACGGTTTTTCTCCAATTCCATACCTCCAAACATAGCTTAATGTTATTTCATTATGATTTAGAGATCACCATACGAAACAGAAACAAGAAAACAGTACTTAAAACTCCGTACATCTGATCCCTATGATCAAAGTGAGGTTTGCACCTTTTCAGCAACTAAATAGCCTGGTTTATCCAGTTATCAAAATCCCATTCGTCCCTTAATTCCTCAGCTTGAGAATTAGTAGCCATCTTCCAAATTTGTATGTATAACCTTTTTCTCTTCTCCTCCAGAGGTGGTATTCCCACTTGAGCAGCCATCCAGTCAAAGAACTCAATCTGCCATCAAACCATGAAATGAAAGAAATTATACATGTCCATACATGTAATGTCTAACGAATTTTCTTTACTTGTCTGTATATATATAAAATTAATAGTGTAGAGTAGAAGAAGAATGGCAACTTGGGGATGAAAACCTCATGTGGATAAATTTGATGAGTCAATTTCTTGGGGATCCCGGATTCCTCCATATGCCGGTAATGTTGCTCGACATCAGCCAGCATCTCCTCTTTGGACGGAAGAGACACCTTACTGGATAAAACATGCGCTATCCACTTGCATTGTAGCTCCAGCATGGGAAATACAATGACCTAATTGTAAATAAAAAAAACTCCGGTACATAATATTGGAAAATATTCTGTCTCATGTTACATTTAGGGTTAATTACAATGACACCCCTTGAGGTTTGCTATAATGACAGCTATATACAAGTTGAACCATTTTTGAACGATGACACCCCTTAAGTTTTATAAAGTAAATAAAGACACCCCAATGGTCCTTACATATGGGTGAATTGACATTATTGTCCTTTGATACATTCAATTACCAATTTATCCAATAATTTTTTTTTATTGACCAAAATACCCTAAGTAAAGTAACCGTACCACACCCACCATGACCGGTTCACAGCCCTATCGCCCCTTCTGTAGAAAAGCTCAAATCTCACTGAAAGCTTGCTTCCTTCAATTGGGTTCACTCTATACCATTCATCTTATCTCATCTCATCTCCTCCTCTGTTAACAAACCCATAATCCAAACAACCCCCAAACCCCAATCCAATTTCAGAATTTTTGCCACCTATGCCACCGGCGAGGGCAAAAAGATTGCGGTTGAGACACCCACAACCTTTGCTTTCAAAATTTTGATGGAAACATTCACAGTTGATGAGATCCGTCCGGATCAGAGAAGATTGGTTCGCTTTGAACTTCTACAAGTCTTTCTCTTGGGCTCCGGCGACGACCAAAGTGATGAGATTGGACTTTGGCGATGGTGGCTAGCAGCGGCGATGTGATTCCGGTGTCAGCTGGGGTTATGTGTGTATGTGTGTTGTAAATGTCACGGGGAGAGAAGAAGGTGAAGGCAACGGCGTCAGGGATCTGTACCAGAGGTCGAAGTTGTCGACGGCTGTGGTGGAGGAAAAGTGGCAGCGGCTGTGGTTGAGAAATGGTGGCGGTACAAGGAGGGACATGTTGGCGGCGATTGTGGTTGAAGGGAGATGGCGGCGACGGTTCTGGTTGGGGAGATGGCGGCGGCGGATGTGGTTGGGGAAAGGCGGTGACGGCGGATCAAGATGGCGGCAGCGGATGTGGATGGGGTGGTGGCAGAGGTGGAGGAAGGAGGCGGTGAGATTGTGGAAGTGGAGAGGTGGTGGACGTTGCAGTGGAGAGAGAGGGTGGAAGTTGCAACGGTGCTGGACCGTAGGTGGGTGGAGACGGTGTTGTACCGTAGGTGGGTTGAGACGGTGGGTATATATATATATATATATATATATATATATGAGGGTGCTGATGTAATACTGTGTATGTATAAGGGCAAATTTGACTTTTCACAAATTCTGATATTTTACCATTAAAATGAATTAAACACTGATGGGCAAAGTAGTATTTTCAAACATTTTAAGGGCTTATTTGGATCAAAATTTTCACAAGGGGTGTCATTGTCCAAAATGTAGCTAAGTTATATATGGCTGTCAATATGTCAAACCTCAGAGGGTGTCGTTGTAATTAACCTTTACATTTAATAAGATATAACAAATTTTATACTAATATGTTACGAGATAAATGATAATATGCTAAGAAATAATTAATTAAATAAGTAACTTAAAATTTAATTAAACATGCAAAATAAAGTAATAAAATAATAATAATAATAAATAAAGAATTTAGACCGGGGTTAGTATTGAATGCTATGTTCTTAAGACAATTTACGCACCGCGTGGTGCTAGTGGACTCCAGGACGATTGTCTCCCATGATACAATGGTCTCCATTATTTACTAGCAATACTTCAAATTCGTGCATACGATAAGCCTCCTCTATATAATACTCTTTTTGACTCAATAATACATCTACTCTAGATAAATAATGAATTGGGTTCGATTCGAACCAAATGACTCAGAACAATTGCAATATGGCTCATTCTTATAAATGTTTCTTTTTTGAAAATTTATAAAGTAAATAGTGTCTATTGGGAATGGTTGTCTCTTTAATTACAACATTTCTTATCGGTTCAACCCACACAACCATTCAAGTACTGTTAAAATCCAAATGCATCATTTGGGTATTAATTGTTTGTTCACCAACAGTCCAACATACAGTCACTAACAGTTACCAATGTAATGGATGCGTTTGTGTTCTAGAACACTTGTAACCCTAACTCACTGAAAATACCATTAGACACAATGGCTACATCATACATCACATTGCAAAAGTTTAGGCATTCATGTTCATAACGAAATGGTAGGTTCACGTAGTGGAATCCTATAATCAACCCACCATTATTATAACAGTAGGATTTACCTTGCGAAACGTCACAGTCTCCTTCCTAAATAGAATCTAGGTAATCAGACTAACAAATTCATATATCAATTGCAATTAGTAGATGATTTGCAGGGAAAAAAAAAAAACTGAGTTAGCGCAAAAAATATCTGACCTTCGTAGGTATTCCAACGAAGGAGAGCCAAGGAGCAAGTTGGGGTGGGAAGACATGCTTGTAAAGTGGTCCGACACGTTTGTCATCGATTGTCACAATTCCATTTGTTTTCAGAAATGGAACACGATATTTGTACCTATATACAAACATATAAGAATAATGCATGTGCACGTCTATGTTCAGGAAAACACAAAAGAAACAAAAAAAAAAAAGGATAAATTGAAAAAAATATCCCTAAGTGTACTCTGTATGACACTTTCACCCCCAATTTTTAAAAGTGTATTATAAAGTTATTAACAGGACGGAAACATTTTTTAAATTACTTTTTGCAGAGACCTGACATAAAATAATGTTGTAATGTCTGTTTTGCTCTTTTACTCTTTCAAAAATGTCTAAGAAGGTGTGCAGGCACGCATCAGCATAGGACTAGTGGGGGCGGATATCCCCACTGAATTTTATATTTTTATTTTGTATCTCAAATTTTTTAGAATTTATGAAGATGTCCCCACTAAAATTACAATTCACCCCATTGGGAATTTTTTTTTTTTTTTAACTCAAATTTTTAAGAATTTATGAAGATACCCCCATTAAAATTTCAATTTGCTCCTACTAAACTTTTTATTTTTTACATTTTATACTTTAAATTTATAAAAATTTATGAAGAAAACTATATTAAAATTACAAAAATGAACCCACTATATAAGTTTGCCCTCACAAAAATTTCTGAGTCCGTCACTCGAGGTGTGTATGCTAACAATTTTATAGTAAAAGGGTGATATATATACTTCAACTATATTTAACCCACTTTTAAAGATTTTCTCTCACCTTTCAAAAAAAAAAAAAAAAAAAAAAAATATCTATATATATTTCCCTAACAGTGTGTTATTGGTCATTGAGTTTACTGTTTGACATTTCCTAACACTAAATGACACTCATAAATTAAAAAATTCTAATATATATACATATATATATATATTACTGGTCAAATGGAGATAAAAATATATAATATATCTCAAAAAAAAAAAATATTATGTGATCTCACCGTTGTCATATTAAAACCTCAGTTCTTTCTACAATTATAAAAAAGAAAAAATTATTCCCAATTGAAATTTAGTATAGTTGTCATTTTTCATTAAATATATAATTAAAAAATTAAATTAAAGATACTTATTCATTATATATATATATATATGTAATATACATTTAATTTTTTAAACTTCATAATTTGCAATAAATTTTTACAAATGACAACTATATATATATCTATATATATATATATATAATTCTTTAAATAACAACAAATGGGTGTTCAATCTTTATTATAAAAATTAAAAAAAAAAATGCATCACTACATTCTAATCCTTAATTTTTCACACACACACACACACATATAATTCATTACATAACAAAAAATGGATGTTCAATTTCTTTCCTTGAAAAAAAAAAATGGTTTTCAATCACCCACACCTTATGGGTGTTTTTCGCACTTTAATCTATCTTAAGATGTTGTCCTTTTTCATCATTTCACAAAAATGACTTTTTTTTTTCTTTATATATATATATATATATATATATATATAATGTGTATATTGCCTCCATAAGGGTAATTTGGTCAAAGTTTATCTTAAATATGTTAGGTGGAACTTATTTGCATAAATTGATACTTTAAGAATGTTTTCCGCACATGAGGAGTGTGATACGCACTCTAAGCATATTATAGAGGTATTTTCTGCAGTTTACTTAAAGAAAAATTAGTTCGGAATCTGTAAGTACCCAGTACAATGAAAAATGACATCTGCTTTAACAGGACATCCGTCTTCAAAGGCCACTGTTCCATCTTCGTAAACACATTCAATCTGTAACAAGATTAAAATTCATTATGTCATATCTTGAAATGTCTTTATTGAGAGAGAAAAAAAAAAAAAAAAAAAAAAAAAAAAAGATTTTGCAACATGATGTTATTGAAGATTTTAAGTAATTGATATCGTTGAAGTGTGTTGTATATATATATAAATATACTTATTGCATGGGATGTCCAAGGGAACATATATATATATACACACACACCTTTGAATGCTGCCATATATTGTCATATTTGTTTGATTTTGAGACTATAACATTTGAGGATCTTGATGAAAGATGAACTTCTTTGGCAACTTTAGCAATATCTCTCGATATATCAACCGCACTAGGCCCAGCTCCAACCATAACCACTACCTGTAAGAACTTTTGTGTAAGTACTTACATCAATTAAACAGAAATAGAAGTATGAGAACTCTTTTTGGAGTGCTTGGCAATTCCAATGAATGGGGTCGTCCTCGTCCTCGTCCTCCTCATCATTCTTGCCTAAATATATTAATTCCATATGAAAGGGTCAAACACCTCAATTCTTTTTCTCTCCAAATTTTTTTTTTTTCTATATGTTTTTTCACATACTATATTTAACGTTACTTTAATTTAAGAAGTAGATCCCATGTTATTTTTTGTCAACGTCTATGCCTCTTACCTTCTATTAGAGTTAGTCTTGCTAGTATGATTAGCGCAACTCTAGGTCTTTGATATGTGTCCAAACCATCTAAGTCTATTATCTCTAAAATCTACCACATTAATGTTTGTAAGGAAAGCTACAAAAAGAGAGTGACAAAGAGGGTAAATCACCTTGTTGGAACTTGAATTACCAATGTACCAACAAAGCATACTCCTTTGGTCCCAAAATAAGTGTCCATTTTTTAAAATCTAACATTTTAAGAGAATATATATATATATATATATATATATATATATATATATATATATATTATATTAATAGTAAAAGAATTATCAAATTTATCCTTAGTGAATCCACATGGTTTACTTTTTATAGGTTAAAAAAAAAAAAAAAAAGTACATTGACTTTTCAGAAAAATGAAAAGATGCTCTCCATCAAACTTCATATTTTCATTTCATAGCGTTCTCCGTGCAAATTTAAAATGTACCTGCAACTCTTATGTGGTGTGCAACAAAAATGGTATATCTTTGCAGTAAAATTGGTACAACAAAAATGGTATATCATTGCAGTAAAATTGGTACATTTTTGGGGTGTCAGAGACGCTCAGGAAGTTCTGCATTTTGAGTCATTGGTTACTTCCATGGCCTCATATCTCCATCGCACAACTTCACCATGGAAGCAACCAATTGGGCTACATTCCAAAGTTGATGGTGGGAGGTTTCAAATTTGGACATAGTGTGGATGTATATTTCTTGTCAAGATAAAAAATTGGGCTATTTTTTAAATTGCCAAAAGCTTAATCTAGTACCTCCTAATCTTATTACGTTAACATATTACAAAAGTAACCTAATTTGAAGCCAGCATTCCATAGTTAAAGTTTTTTAGGCTATGTTTGGCTGGCATGGAATGGAATTGGAGTTTTGAAATTGAGATTTGTGAAATTAGATAAAAGGAAATTTGAACCAAAAAAAATTTTCAATTCCACTAATTCCAATTTCATGCTACCGAAATTTCCCAAAACACGAATTCGTGCAAATTTCCCAAGAATTTTCAAGCTAGAAGGAAGTCATAGAAATAGCAGGGTAACATACCTGATGCCGAAATGGTTCAGGAACACGGTAATTGTGACTATGTACTTGCTTTCTTGGCCATTTCTCAATGCCTACATAATATTAATATAACGCAAAATTATATATTAAGAATAAGTTTCCATTGAAAACTAATATTCAATTATTTTCTTGAATGGTTTTTTCTTTTGAAAACTAATATTTATTGCTACAAAGTTCTATATTATTCTATATATCCAGACAGTTGTTAGGACACAACAACGATTAGAAAACTAAAATTCTTTAAATGTTCATTGGTTTTTTTTTTAATCACCCAAATGTTCATTGTTGTTGGATAACGCATAAATCACATTCAATTCATATATTTGTTGACTTTCTTTTCTTTTCTTTTCTTTTGTTATTATTATTATTATTTATTTATTTATTCAATTCATATATTTGTTGCATTATAAGTAGTATATAAAATTTAGTTATGCGATGCAGACTAAAAGTATTAAGATTCATAATGCGCGTGTAACATATATGAGCTATGTTACACAAACTATGCCAATGTAATTTATCGGAAATTAAACTTGCATTATAAGGTCAACTCTATTTTATTTTAAACGCATTAACATTTTATAAAATTAGTTGTTTAATTCGTTGGGCTTCTCTGCATGTGTTATATATTTTGGTAGATCACCCTCGTGTTCCACCCTGGTCAAAAATCAATATGGCCTTCTACATTGTTTCAACTAGGTCCGGTTTGTCCGTCACAATAATTTTTTGCAATGCCAAAATAACCATTCAAATAAACTAGATTACTTTTTTTTATCCTAAATTAATATATCATGTGTCAAAACTAATTCCAAATATATGATCGAAATATCCTCAAATACACTTCATTTTTTTAAACAGAAAATACTCGACTCCAAACACACTTGGAATTAATTTTGTCACATCCTAAAAAAATTAACTTCATCCATTTGAAAAGGTAATTTTGACATTGTAAAAAAAAAAAAAAAAAATTGTTCTCACGAAGTATACAGTCCTACTCGACCTACTTATGATGTGAGGGCAATTTATGATATATATATATATACACACACGCACACATAGGAGTATATAATACATGCATATAGAATTTAAATTTTTATTTATTTATTTTTTTTTCACACAACAAAAGACATGCATATAGAATTGAGTCATAGTTGTTGTAAGAGAGATAAGAGAACCCTAATCGAAAAAAGAAAAAGAAAAACCAGAGGATTGGAGTACCTGGAAGATTTGCTAACTGTGGTTCAGTGTAGTGACCATTACACACTACTACTGCCTGGAAGATATCCACTGAACTCAGCCCACTCGTCCTCGACTCAACCATCCATTCGTTATTTCTCAACTCGTCAAGCAGCTCAACTCGGACAACTTCAGAATCAAACCGAATCAACTCAGCGAGTCCAAAGTCCCTCGCAAAATCATTCAAGAACCTGAGCACCTCCTCATGCCCAGGAAAAGTCCTCGGATCCCCATTTTCCCTAACAACAAACGGATAGTCCGAGAAACCCATTAAGTGCCGAGGGAGATTGGCCCGGAGTGACTGGTACGCACTGCTATGAACGATCTCTCGGTTTGGGTCGCGTCCGAGTGGGTCGGACTCGACTCGAGGGTCGTAGATCCATGTTCCACCTAGTCGGTCTCCTTTTTCGTAAACGACGACTCGGTGGCCTTCTCTTTGAAGTTCACGGGCGGCGACCAGACCGGAGACACCGGCTCCGACCACCGCCACTTTCAAAGACCGTGCCATCTCTGTATGTATGTATGTATCTATCTGTCTTTGTTTTATTGAAATGGGCAGTTTTATAATCTGTCCAATATTATTATAGAGAGAGAGAACATTTTTCTAACAAGTCGTGCTAGGTTGGCGAACCTTTATTAAAAACAACATTGTAATAAGCCACATGCAATTTTTGGTAGGTGGCCCAATAATATAAGTTCATATTTAGAAATTAGATTTTTTAAGGAATTATGTAATTAATGCATTATTTTTTTTTAAAATAATTAAATTATCTTTTTTAATTTAAGTATATATAATTATAAAATTTGAAATTTTTTAAAAAGATAAAAGAACAATGATGCAAATATAATGAATAAATGTTTTAACTTTTTAAAAAGGACAACTAATTTAGGATATGTAAAAAGAGAAAAATTGATTCCTAATATAAAAAGACTGAGAGAGTATAATTTAAAGATGGATAAATTACTCTATAAGCATAAGATACAATTTCAACTTTTAGAATACCTTCTCAAATGGGGTAGTCCCACTCAAATATGTGGAAATCCCAACTCAACCTAAAAAATCTCCTAAGCTTGACTGTTCGAGACCAACGGTCACTTTTGTAGCTATGGACGACTCCTATTTAAGTTGCGTTCGAGCTACAGCTTGTTGAACCATTATTATGTTTTTTTAGATCTCCTATTTTATTTTTATTTTTTTGTTTAGAAGTTCTCGGATTATTCTTTGTTTGCTACTAGTTTGATTCAGTTTAGGAAGTTCAACCTGAAAAAAAATCAAGGATATGCTTTGTTTATAATTCAAAAAACAATTCACAAGAATTCTAAAGACATAAAACAATTTTTAAATAATTATAAAAATAACTCTGTAAACATTTTTTTTTTATACAATTTCAATCTACAGAAAAAACGTTTTTCAAGTGATAAACCCAAGAGACCCTAAGGTTGGTTGGTTGGTGGGATTTTTATTTTATTTTATTTATTTATTTATTTTTCACTCCAGTTTGGTGTTTTGGAGATTGCAAAAAGGACTTGGCATCCTTGTCAATAATTTTTTGGGTAGTTTCACTTACACCCTTTAGGTTTAGTCAAATATCACCCTCAAATATCTTTCGAAAATAATTATTACTTACATTACAAACGTTTGTTCTGTTTTTCACTCATGCCTCAAAAGTTAATTGACATATGTGTCAGACCACCTTTTACATGTAGAAAGACATTGACTTTGATTTGACCTACTAAATTGTTTCTTTAATGATTCAAATGACATATTAACCCTCATTCGACTTTTGACTAACTATATTATTTCTTTAAGTATTAAAATGATAATTTCTTTGTTGGGACCACATCTTCTTGATAATTTCTGTAGTATTTTCTTCACAATCTACTTATTTGTTTGACCAATTTGTACACAGTTTAAATGTATTTGTATGCTTTTCACCCATAATATTTCTTACTTGGCATACTCGTAATTATTTCATGATAAGTACAATCAGAATTTTTTTTTTTTTTTCAAATTACCGTACAACCTCTTAAATTGATTTATTATTATTATTAATTAAAAAATTTTATTTGAAAAATATTCTTTGAAAATTTCTCATGAAAAAAGACACCATGTCTTAAATTGCTAATCCACGTCCTCGTGGGTTTTGAATTGCTAATCCATCCCGTCCTACTGGGTTTTGAATTTTTCCGAAATTATTTTAATCGGCCAGGGAGTTTGAAAAAGAGAGTTCAAAACTCTAATTATTAATTAATATATAAATATATATATTTTATTTATTATAATTTTCCTTTATTTCTCTTATATTTTTAAATTTTCGTAACAGACTTGTTTATCAATCAAATATACACAAAGCCTACTTAGAAAATTGGGAGTATCTTTGAAAGAAAAAATATTCACGTTAATAATATTTTAATTAGGGGTATAATGGTCATTTAGGTTATCTGATATTTTGAAATAAATGTGATTAAAAAATTATGGGCAAAATTGTCTTTTTTCAAGTTTTTAATGGACGGGTGATATTTGGCCAAACCTAAAAAGGTGTCAATGAAGTTATCCTTAATTTTTTAACACTAGGATATTTCAATGGTATCATAAGTTTGCCTCCAATTTTGTTAGTTTTAAATTAATATTTACAAGTTAAAAATCTTGAATGGGCAATTATAAAAAATAAGATTAGCGTATGCAGGCTGGCCTTACTACATGTTTCTGAGAAAAATCATGATTGTTAGATGACCTCAACACCAAATTTTTGGTCATCCATGTGTGTGCGTGTGTGTGTGTGTGTGTGTGAGAGAGAGAGAGAGATGTTCCACATTTTTGCACAATGTAAACCTTACTGTTCATAACTACGAAATGACATTACCAAGAAACAGATTTCTTTGGCTAATCTTATTCTGGTAATTTCCATACAATCATCTTGCTTGAATGAGCTTTCAATAAAATGTTTTATACAGATTTAAACACGATAAAATTATTTCATTGTGGTTTGAAGATTACGATACGAAATAAAAAAATAATCTCTTAAAAGTTAAGACACACGTTAAGATTCTATATAACTGACCCACCCCAGATCTGGGTACGGTTTGCTCTTTTTAAGTAATTAAATAGCCTGGCTTATCCAGTTATCAATATCCCAATCGTCCCTGGATAACGCCAGTTGAGAAGCAGCAGCAAGCTTCCAAATTTGTATGTATAACCTTTTTCTCTTCTCCTCCAGAGGTGGTATTCCCACTTGAGCAGCCAAACAGTCCACGTACTCAAACTGCCATCAAACCATGAAATATATATATATATATATGTCCATGCATATATGTTTATAGGCATCAATGTCAATAACAAATTTTCAATACTTGTCAACTGGGGAACGCAATTTAAAAGTGAAGAGTACAACAAGAATGGCAACTGGGGAACGAAAACCTCATGTGGATACATTTGATGGGTATACTGTTTGGGGATCCCGGATTCCTCCATATGCCGGTAATGTTGTTCAACATCAGCCAGCATCTCCTCCTTGGATGGCAGAGACACCTTACCGGATAAAACGTGCGCTATCCACTTGGATTGTAGCTCCAGCAAAGAAAATACATTGGCCTAATAATTATTGTAAATAAAAAATTCGGCTACACAATTTACCATAAATTTCATAGTTGCTTGTATGAATTGACTCGAAAAAATCAACAATTTGAAATGGAACAACTGATCTTAAAAGGTATTCCAACAAAGGAGAGCCAAGGACCAAGCTGGGGTGGGAAGACATGCTTATAAAGTGGCCCGCTACGGTTGTCATCGATTGTCACAGTTCCATTTATTTTCAGAAATGGAACATGGTATTTGTACCTTTATACAAACATATAAGAATCATCCATGTACAAGCCAATGAAAAGATAAACTAGTTTGGAATCGATATATACCCTGTACAGTAAAAAATGACATCAGCTTTAACAGAACATCCCTCTTCAAAAGTTATCGTACCGTCTTTCATAAACATAATCAATCTGTAACAAGATCAATATAATTCATCATTTCACATCTTGAAACGTTTTTATTGAAAATAAATAAATAACAGATACATATGATTTTGCAACATGATGTTATTGATGATTTTAAGTAATTGATGTCCAAGGGAACATATATATTAGTACCTTTGAATGCTGCCATATATTGTCATAGTTTTCTAATTTTGAGACTTTAACACTATGGGATCTTGAAGAAAGATGAACTTCTTTGGCAACTTTAGCAATATCTCTGGATATATCAAACGCATTAGGCCCAGCTCCAACCATAATCACAATCTGTAAGTTGGAATTTTTCAGAAAGTACTTAATCAATTAAATAGAATTACAAGTCTAAATTCAGGAAAAAAAAAAAAAAAATGAAAAAAAAAAAGAAAAAAAGAAAAAAAAGAATTAAAAGTCTAAGAACTCTATTGGGAGTGTTTGCCAATTCCATTTACATCATCATCATCCTTGCCCTAACATATTGATCTCACATCAGTGGCATCGTTGGCCATTTAAATTATCTCTCTCCAATCAAACAGAGTCTTTTGTGGTGTTCAATTTGAAAAAACTTAGTTGTGTCAATTGTATTAGTGACGTGGTATCACCAACTGATTAGATACTGACACGTAATGATAGAATCCGCTAAAATAAAAATCTTTTACTTATGTCAAATTATACAATCGGTTGATGGCTTCACCATAGAAGCAACTTATTTAGCTATATTACAAAATCGAAGGTCGAGGTTTTAAATTTCGACAAAGTGTGAATGTGTATTTTTTGCCAAGATATAAAAAAATAAAAAAATTGGGCTGCATTTTTAATTCCCAAAAGCACCACTTCAACGTCATAGTACATTAATTCCCAAAAGCTCCACTTCCACCTCATATTACATTACCAAAATAAAAAAGTAACCCGATTTGAAATTTTGAAGTCACCATTTCATAAAAGAACCATCATTCTCAAAGTTACTACTATTCTCTCTCTCTAGTTGACAAATGCAAGCCAACCACTTTTGCTGCCCTATGCATACAAAAAACAATGGGAAGAAATAGTTCCTTGCGCTGTCAAGGGTTTCTCTGTTTATCAGAGGGTTCTCGTTCATCAAGAGTTTGATCAGTGGTCTTTTTGTCTTTCCTTAAGGCGTTAGGAGTGCTCATTGTGGCTAGGTGACGTTCTGCCTGGATCGACGTGTTCAGTTGCTAGGAGTTTTTGTTTTCAGGGCGATCACTGAATCGGAGGGTGTTGGAGTGTTTTGGGGGACGCCTCACCGGATCTGTGTATCTAGGGGTTTTGTCTTTTGGGAGTGATCTGATCTGTTTAGGGTTCGATTTGTTGTGGTTTGTGTGTGCCTTTTTGAGTTTTGTTTTGATCTGGGTTTGGGCTGAGTTTATTTGTTGGTTATGTCTTTGATTCATAACTTTACTCGTTTCCGTTTTACCATTCATTGCTTGGTGTTTTGGTGGTGTACCAGTCTGGATCCGCTTTTGTCTCCGTCTTTTTGGAAGGGGACTTTGCTTTTTCTATGTAAACTGCTGTTTGTTGATGCTGCTATGTCCATTGAGGGGGGGGAGGAAAATGGACCGGGGGGGGACTGCTGGGGCTCTGGTTAGAGGGCAATAGCAAAGGTTGGGGGGGTCTCTCATGGGCTTCCATCTCTTTTGGGATCTGCGTTGACCCGATTTTTGCAGTCTGGGGTGGCGGGTGTGGTGTTGTTGGGCCACTATTTCAGGGTGGTTACAGCTTACGGGAGGTCTACAGGCGGCAAACGGGCTGAACCTTTAGAGTCGGCTTTTGCTGTCAGTCTGGGTGTTGGGGCAAGGAATGGTGCGCTCATTGCTGACATCAGGGCAAGTTCTAGAGTTGGGATCTAAGATGGGCCTTATTTTGAGGCCCAAGTTTTTGACTCGGGTGACCCTTAGGCTTTCATCGTTATCGGGTATATATATTTTTTTTATCATAACTAGGGCTGTCCTGTTTGGGTATATGGTTGGAATTCTTTGCCGCCTGAAATACGATTTGAGGTTTGATGACTCTAAGCATTTCTTGCCTCAAGCTATGCACAAGGGTCACTTCCCCCAGTCTCCGAGGCTCTGCCATGGCAGTGGTACTATGGTGGAGCTTATCTATTGTTCGACTTTGGGCGCTCTCAGAGCTATTTATGGGATGTTCTCTTGTTATACCGTTTGTGTGTGGCTTATTTCCTTTTTTTATATTTCTTTGTTGCCTTTGTGCACACTCTTTGGTCCTTTTTTTCTTCTCAATGGTGCTGTATTCTCTGAGGCTTTCATGGAGCATGGCATTCTTGATTAGCTTGGAGGCTTGACATTAACATCGGCTGAGAAAATACCAATTTAACTATCACATGAGGATATGGCTCAAGGCGTTCAGGTTTGTAATGAGAGTTTATTTGCTAAAGTCTGGACCTCTAAATCTATTACTCTTGCAGGTGCAAAATTTACCTTTGGCAAACTTTTCTCTAAGCTGTGGCCTAAAGATCAACATAAGCAACCCATGTTCCAGAAGCTTCAAGTCTATAAGGTTGGCCACAACTTATTCCAATTAATTATTCTAGATCCGTGGCTCGGTCAGGGTGTGATTCTCTGTTGTTTCGTGGCTTTTTGATGGCCATCGAGGTTTGAGATGAGGGAATTTCATCATCGGTAGGTCCATCCAAGTTGCCCCATTCTGGATTCAGCTCTCGTAGGTTAAGGCGGATCTTTTATCTGAAAAGGTAGGCCAACGGATTACTAACTCCTTTGGCCGATGTCGACTCAAAGTTGAACTGCGGGACAAGAGTATTGCTGAAAAAACTAAGAAAGGGATGGTTAATAGTAGGGTGCTACGTATTAATGTAGAGTTGGATGTTTTACAACCTCTTTGACGTCATGTGGTGTCCCACAGCCCGATGGGAGAGGCTTCAATGGCCCAAATCAGGTATGAAAAATTGCCTTCTTTTCGTTTCTGATGTGGAGTGATTGGGCATCACTAGAAGGTATGTCAGGTGAAGGATGGTTCTAATCTTATGGGTTTTAAGGAGTATGGGGGTTGGCTTGGAGTAGAAGGCTTTATTGGTAGGGATTTATGGCAGACTGAGAAGGATGGGGGGGATAATAGAAGCGATATTCACACAAAAAAATGGCTTTATGTGGAGGATGCTGACTCTAAAGGGGCGGATGATGTTGGTCATTCTCCCTCATCCTCTCTAGCTCGGCCTTTTCCAGAGTGGCCTGGTGACTCTCCTGGTCTGTTTGGGAGTCATTTGGGTCCAAATTCATTTGTTCCTCGGCCTCCTGTACAACCGTCGGTGGTAGCTTTGTCTTGTGTTGGGGATCAAAACCGAACGCCTGGTGGTGAGGGTCAAGGGGAAGGCTCCACTGGGGTTGTTGATGTGATAACTCGGCCGTGCTAGAGCATCATGGTACGTGAGTGGTGGTGGATTTTAACCCTGGGGGTGACCATTTGCTTGTTCCTGAAGGGGGCTAATGATTGGGTCCTCCTTACAGAGTTATGTTGCTTCAATGCAGGTGGATGATGTTGTTAACTTTGTTCTGGTCACATCTCCTATTAAAGGTCGGATCTTTCCTTTTGGACTGTTGGGATAGGATGATCAAGGAGAGGCCAAAAGAAAAGGCAAAGTCCTCAGTGGGCAAAGGCTCATACTCTGACTCATCTGCCACTTCTAATAATCAGGGTTCCTCACCAGCTAAGAGGGGTCGTAAAAGACATCAAATAACTTTCGGGGGATCTACAGGGGCTCAGTTACAAGGAGATAAGAGGTAGAAGGGTATGGTGGGTGCTGCTATGAGCAAGATGGTGTCGTTGAGATGGTGTTAATTCCACTTCCTCAAGGGTTTTGGGACTGCAATTGACAGACTCCTTCAATTCTGATTCCTCCCAGTCGTTCTCTACCAAGATTGCCATGTTGATGGGTACGGGACAGTCTCCTACTTCAGAAACTGCTTAAGCTTCGGTTCTTATGACGATGGTCATGTCGTAGCTTTTGCTTAGGTTTCATTGGAATCGTCTTGGTTGTTCTTCTTTTGTGGTTCCTTTGATGTTGTTATGTTTGTTTGCCCTGTTGATGGCTGTTCATTTAATGGCCTTTTGGCTTTTCTTGTCAAGACACCAAAAAAAAAAAAAAAAAGTCACCATTTTATAGTGAAAGGTTCTTATTGGGGCAAATTTCCAAAAAAATAATTACAAAATTTTCCACAAGCTATAAGTAATTAACAATGAATCAAAATATACTGTTGAATGACCAAATTGCCCTCCATATACCTTTATATTTTATTTCCATATCAAAATTAAAAAGTGTTCTGTATTTTGAGTTGGCAATTACTTCCATTATTTCATAGTTGAAGGTAACTAAGATGGGGACCATAATAAAGTCAGATGATCTTTATTCTTCAATTCTGTTTGCAGTTTGTACTCGGAGCAACTTCTCTAGAGAGAGGCATTCAAAAAGTGAAGAAAGTGTGGAGAATTTTTTGTTAGGCAGTGCATTAAGTTTAGCGCTTGAATAAATGTCTGCTAACAAAAACATAAGGTCAGTATATGCTCTGATGCAAGCAAAAATGCTCTTCTACTAGTCCGCCTTAACATATGGTTATAAAAAGTTGACACTGTTTGGCTTATGGGTTGGATGATATAAGAGGTGGTTGACACTTATATTTGTGGATATCTTTGAATTATTCAAGCGTGTTTTATAGCAGAATGAGTCATGAAAATTTGAAAAAAGAGCTAATCTCTAGCAAAAATGGAGTTGACACTACATAAGCCCACGAGGGTTAGGCTAGTAAAGACATTGGGTCCTAAGAGGGAGCGATTGTGACTTTCTCCATTGTTAGGAAATAGATGTTGTTAACACTTATAGAAGATAGTACAAAGCAAACAATATTTATAGAGGAGCAATTCGTGATAATTAAAGTCCTAAAAACCACATATTTGGTCCTGTCGTACATTTGATTGAGAAAGAGAGGTCATCTGATCATATCTTTGGCATGTTACACTTTTTGCAACTTGCATAATGTAAAACCTTATTGTTCAACAACTATGAAAGTGACATTTCCAAGGAAACACATTTCTTTGGCTAAGCTTAGTGTGGTAAAAATTCCATACAAAAACTTGTTTGCAAACAGATGAAAATGCAGTAAAAATGTGTTATGCTGTGTACAACAATTAAAAATCTTGGTTGCTTATCTAGTTATCGATATCCCATTCGTCCCTAAATCCCTCCAATTGAGAACTACAGACAATCTTCCAATGTTGATTAGAAAAATAAATTTAAAGTAATCGGTGCAAATATCATTACTCATATTCATTAGTCAATGAACCTCGAATCAGTTAACTTCAGTACTCCTTACAACTTATGACAAAATGATTTGACAAAGTCTTCACAAAAAGTTGGGTTGGTTCAATAAGGGGATTAATCGGAAGGTTTTGTTGAATTTTAATCCCAATAACATTAATATGGTTGTTTGTTAATTGCTGGTGATGGTAAATAGTAGATGATCACTTTAATGGTTAGGGGTGCACAAAAGAACCGTGGAACCAGAACCGTGAGAAGTTCCGGTTCTCAAGGTTCCGGTTCCGATTCCGGTTCCGGTTCCTAAAATGAGGAACTGTTGAGTTTCGGTTCGGTTCCGATTCCGGTCTCACGGTTCAGTTCTGGAACCAGAACCGTAATATATGTATTATATATTTGATTATATTATCAGTAATATAATATATAATATTATATATAATGTTATATATTATATTTTATTATTTGATTATATTTTATTTTTAGGGCAAATCAATAAGGCTCAGCCTCCCCAATCGCCTCCATCTCTATTCTCTCGACTCTGAATTTTCCCTCTCTCTCTCTCTGCAACTACAAAATCTACAAAAATCAAAAGTTCAAAACCCATATATTTCAAATCTGTCTGCAAGAATCAAAAGTTCAAAACCCATATCGGCATATCATTTCAGATTGTTCAAAAAATCAAAACCAATATCTTTCAGTTTCCTTCGCCCACTGTTTCAGTTCGGGTTCGCCGTTCGCAAGCTTCAGCCGAACTGGAACAGCCGAACTATTCATCAGATCTGAGTTAGTATAGATCTTTCTCTTTGTCTCTATGTTTTCTCTCTTTGGTTAGATTTTTATGTTAATTTATTTTTTAGTTACTATTTTTGTTGTTGATGTTATTAGCACCTAAGGTTTGTGTGTTATTTTGTTTTTTTTCCTTTTCTTCTTTTTTAATCTAAAATTATGGAAATGGTGTGTTTTTTAAATCTGAAATTATGGAAATGGTGTGTTCAAAAAATCAAAACCCATAACTTTCAGTTTCCATTGCCTACTGTTCCAGTTTGGGTTTGCAAGCTTTAATTGACAACCGCTGTCTCTCAAGAACGATTCTCATGGAACCGAACTGGTTTTACTGTTCGGTTCCGGTTCGGTTCTAATCCATACGGTTCCGATTCTGGTTCCCTTTTTTAGGAACCGTTGTGAACGGTTCCGATTCTGGTTCCGACCAGAACCGTAAGGAATCGAACCATGTGCACCCCTATTAATGGGTT